GTTGTACTCAGTTCCTCTTCTCGTCGTTCACCCTCGCACTAGGTTACCTTCTGCTTCACCATCCTCCTCTCCCTGCTTTATCAGCTTCCATGTGTCTATCGAGATCTATTCCTTATCTTCTTTCTTCTTCCTTCCTACTACGGTTGTGCAGGTTTCAAAGAGTTCCAGTGTTTATTCACACAAGTTTCTTCAGGAATGTTGCTCGATATCTCCTGTTTTGTCTTGATGGCTGACGTGAAGATTTCCTCTGTGGTTTCGCCCTTTAGTTTCTGTTCTGTGTGTTGAACTTGAACTGTGGTCTATCACCAAATTTTGTGAAGGTTTTCAACTTGATTTTGAGGTTCCTTGCACTAGACAGTGAGTGGTCTGAGCTCACATCCGTTCTCCTTCTTGACCTAGTGTCAAGTAGGCTGCGTCTCCACTTTCTTGAGATTGGGATGAGTTCGATCTGATTTTTAGTGTGTCCATCTGGTGAAATCGAATCCATGTCGCTTTGTGAATATCCTTGTGCTTGAACACAGTGCCTTATTCTAATCACCAAATGGTTGAATGCACAGAATTCTGCAAACAATTCTCCATTCTCGTTGATCACCTCACCGGGCGCTTCTCGACCCATGGTTAGTCCTCGCCCTGTGTTGTCTGCTCCCAGTTTGGCATTCATGTCACCCCACCCACTAGAATTTTGATATCGCCAACTGGCGTCTTGTCCAGTGTTGATTGCAGTTGTCTATAGAATTCCTCCTTCTTCTCTCGATCTGCATTGTTTGTAGGTGCGTAGGGTTACATTGAACGATTGTGACTTTCCTTCCTTTTGAGTTGAATCTTGCTGTTATGATCCTGCATGGGGATATTGGTTCCTGCTGTATGAGAACCCTCGATGATGTTGGGGACATCATGATAGCCACTCCATAACTCAATGTGCTCATGGTTGTCGTCTGGATGGCAATATCGGAGTAGATTAGAGACTCTCCAGTTTGCAGTTTGGAGAGTTCACTTCCATTCCACCTACATTCGCAAATGCCTACCACTTCAATACTATACCTTCTCATCTCGTTGGCAATCTGGGCTGCCTTGCTAGGTTCAAACATAGTGCAGACATTCCATGTCCCCATCTTACTTTTGCTTTCATCGAGAGAAGAGTGGACACATCAGCCAATTGGCTTCCTGAAGTCTTTAAGCAACTGGTGTCATTTCGCCTCTCCGATTACGGTGAGGAATAAGTTTGTTTTATTTTATATATATTTTCTTTGTGCTTTGAAGTTTCTTAAGCGATTGAGTTGGTTTTCTGGGGTAGGTTTGCTAGCCCTTCTCCAACCTTTCCTCTTTATCCGGGCTTATTACCGGCTAGTAACTAGTGAACTAGTTAACCAGGCGAGGTTCCATATTGAATAGCATTAATCTTATTATGTTTTCAACTTGGTAATCATTTATTTAAGTATTTCGAAATCGCTTTCATTCAGAAATGCTTTGAACTTGTGTGTGCTATCTCACGGAAGAACCTATAAACTAAACATTTACACAATTAACTGATGAGGGTATTGTGTTGGTTGGTAAAAATAGCTATCACTTGTATTTTTATTCTATCGGCTCAATAAAAATGTTGAAAATTCGATGAAATTTTATTTTCTCTATTAATCAATCAGTGTGGGTATCTGTATACACATGATGATTTCGATTGAAAAAGGAAATCAACGTTTTTGAATGGAAAACTTTTTTTCTGAAGAGAAAGGAGACTATGGAGCCTTCAGAAAAGTAGATATTAATCATTGGTCGATAAGAAAGTGTATTAGTCTAGCAAAAGTATAAAAATTTGTAATAAAATCAGTAACAATACTATTTATTGATATACTTGTTATATTGGATCGAATTGTTCGACCTCTATTGGCATATGGACTCCTATGCTGAATGTTGATTATGATGATTTGGTTGGTAGTGCTTCCTGGAGTCTTCTGCTAGCCACAGCCAACCAAATTATCATAATTAAGATCAGTAAGAATTACGATTTTATAAGGTCAGCAATGTTACAGGTTACTGTGTGAGTTGTGCGAAAATCTATGTAATCCACTGATTGAAATTGGTACTTGCTATTTTCTCTTCGATTTGACGCTGACTGTGCAACACTTTTGTTCACATGAATCAGCGTTTTCAAAAACTGATCAAAATAATTGCTATTGACTAGTTGGTTTGAGTCGTATGGGATGATGCAGACTGGGTTGTTGGGGTCGGCGAGATAAGAGGAACCAGTGGTTGGAGACTCTAGGTGATCACATGGCTGAGAACCGATGTCAGTGGTGCAGATGTATGCACACATTATCCTCATGTTAACGCTATGCTTAGTCTCACCGTCTTCTCATTCTTCTTTCCTCTCCTTTAGTACTTTGTATTTTTCTTGAGTGAATTTTCTTTTCTTCATCTTACACTTCACTGCCTTTTACTTGATGTACTGATATGAAGTGTGGCAACTGGGACCGTTATGCAGTAATGCTTGGTCCTATGGTGATAGGTGGTGATACTAGTAAGCATAGAATATCAGTTATATTACTACAAATAAGACTAAATCTGTTTTTCACCTATATTTGGTTTGCTAACATTGTTATTTCGGACGGTGAATCGTTTATGGAGGAGGTGGTTCTCGTGCCTCATTGGCCTAGTGGATAACCCTTTGATACTAAAAGCAATGTATACAAGGTTCAAGCCTCAGTGGGAACGATATTACTCACTGTAGTGCAGGAACAACCAGCCGACGAGTCTTAAATAGGACGAAACTCGCGTGCTGGATTTCACGTGGCTAGCCACCTGGTAGATTACACAATCAGTACTTTTTTCAAGTTGATATTCATCATGGACTGATATCAGTTGGAGGAACATAGGAAACCTGGGAGCACTGGACAACTGTTTCGTCCTAGCATGGGACTCCTCAGCAGTGCGCACCGATGAGCTCCAACTGTTGTCACTATGGTGAATACTAACTTAAAAAATCTCGAAAATCTCCACAAACCCCCAAATTCAAATGAACTAGTGCTCTTTGGTGACTAGCTTTGAGAGATGATTCCCAAAGTTCCAATGAAAAGTCGTTACTACTGTGGCAAGCCTGGTGGACGTGAGGGCAAATACTCAACAATGACATTGTATGATAGTCGCGCTATATCATGAACTGACAAAAGTTGGCTCAATGGTAGCGTGCTGGCTTGGGATTTAGAAGGTCATGCGTTCGATCGCTGTATGGTGGGGTGGTGGGGCCCGCTGCTGAGGAGTGGGATATCAGGATGAAACAGCTGTCCAGTGTTCCTTCAACTTGAAAAACTCTAAATCCCCACAGACCCCAAAATTCAAATACGTTTTTTATCTGTGCTTAACTGTGGTGTGTATGAATACTTCTGTAGTATAGATATGTCCTAATTAATTAGCACAAAATAGAATCACTGTCAAAAAACTATCTCATCAACATATGTGGTTTTGCGTATCATCAAATGTGTGTCTACATTCATCTCAAAGGTGTTATTTAATCTTATTATCTAATCGATTTCAAAATAAGTTTTAACATAGCAAAAGTAGGATGAAATATACTCGTACTTTAAAATAAACAGTTGCAGTTATTTCAGGTAGGATCTATTGAATTTATAAATTTCACTAGGACTTGTTAGCTTTTTACTCTCCATGTATGAATTTTGCATACTGTTATGCAATAGAGAAATACATACACACAACGTAGTACAGACTTAAGGCATTAACCGAAGCATAGCGCGACACTGAATAGTTTAACTAGGTCAAGTAGAACTATGAATAGATTAATAAATTGATCATGAAGAATAGAGACACTAGGACTGGATTACCAAGACAACATTGATGCTGTTAAGGCCTTCTTGATTGTCAGGAGATAACAGAATAAGCAAATACTTGCGTTCGTGGAAGCATATGCGACTAGAGTTCATGAACCGAGCCTAAGTGTACAGAAAGAAATGATGGAAGTCTCGATGCACTGGGAACTTATTTATATTTTGTTTTTTCATCTTGCTTAGCGTATTTACCTCTTAACAGCTATCGTATTCTGTCGCTTTGTCATTTCCTCTTGAAATTATTCATCTAATAGGCAAATGTCTTATCTGTATTGCCATTATTATTATTATCGACCAACTGATACTCTAGCCTTCTCTAGTTTAACAGTTACCAAGTTTCTTAAATGTTGTCCATTTGTCCCGTTAAAAATGATGTAATTTCTAATCTTTTCAGTATTCAACAATATTTGTACTGTTATATTGTTACTTGTATTATCGTGTCTTCGATTGGATCGAATTGATCGGTCTGTATTGGCGTATGGGCTCCCGTGCGGATGCCTTGATATTGCTCGTATTTTAATTCTATATTAATGATAGATAGTTGCTAGCAGTGGAATCCAGGGTACGGGTTTAGTTCTATTTAGGACTCGTCAGTTAGATGTACCTGTCTCCCAGTCGGGGTTCGACCCCTAGTGTGAACCACATCGCTCACTGGGAGACAGGTACATCCAGCTGACCGGTCCGAAATAGGACAAAACGCATGTCCTGGATTCCACTGCTAGCCGCTATCCACCGTTAGTATAATATTTCTATTTATCTAACACATGATTCCTTAAAAGTTGTGCACTGTTGTCAAGCTATCTAGTTGATTTCAAAATGGTGTAATCCATCTCTAGTCTTTTTTATTCGATATTATCAATTTCTTACTCCCCTCCAATGTATTCATAGTTTGATTTGACCTAGTTAAATTACTCACTCTATGTTGCGCCATGCCTGATTCAATGTTTTAATCTGTATTGTGTTATGTGTATGTATTCCTGTATTGCACAACAGTATGTAAAAATCATTTATATGCCGTAAAAAGCTGGCGAGTCCTGCTGACTAAGCCTTACTTTTAATTTGTTTAATCTTTTTTTTCTCCATTTACCAATTGATAACACTTTTAATCTTGCACTACATTCCACTCTTATTTTCTTCTTTCCTTGGCGTTGATCAACAATCTAGACATATTCTCAATCGAAATAAGAATCGTTATTGTGATGTAATTTGTAATGATACATCTCGTGTTTATCTTCAACCATTATTATCGGATATCTCTGGAATTTTATCCTGTCGAAGTAGTAGTGATGATTCAAGTTCTTGTAATACTCAAAAATCGCTTACTTCACGTCTTCATCGAACTCATTCAGCACCGATCTCTACACATACATTGGTAAAAAATTATATACATGCGAATTGGGTTGATGGCTATCGACAGAAGAATGCTTTCATATGTACTCAGGGTATGTTAACTTGTTAGTTGATTTTGACTTTATTGTTTGTTTCCACTTTATTTTTTGTAATACATTCTGGATCATTGACATTGAACTGTATTTGGAACTCACTAATGATCTGATTCATTGCCTTGCCTACCATTCTGTAGCCTTTTGAAAGTTTTTATTCATTATCTCTTACATAGGAATCTAGCTTTTTCATTACACCTAGCCCCTGCCATGTAGAGTTGTTGGTCATTGGTTTAGGCATTTGAATTCCAACCAATGGGTCATACATTCGAACCCTGACCCACCTGCCGAGGTGTGCGCAGCCAAGTATTATCAATAATCCTTCTGTACACTATGTCTTGTGAAGTCTTGTTACAAATGACTTCAGGCGATTAGTATCTCTAGAGATAACCGCCTTATTTGGTGTATAATGTCCGCTTAGAAAAGCTGGAAAAAGCCCTATAGGGATTGAATTAATGTTCTATCTCATAAAATCACTCTTAAGTACTATAAGAAACTGTAGTGCCTTGTGGCTAGAATTTGCAAATGAGATCGTATTGGTAAATGAAGACGCTGTGTTGCATGATCCCAAATCTTTGGCGTCGATATAAGTCCATTAATTCGTTATCTTTCCCTAAGTGGTTGATATCTTAATCATTTGGACTGTTGGAATTCTGTGTTACTCTTAGAGTGAAAGTTGTATCAAATCTTTAAAACAACGGAAAGATCAATCCATTGACGTTCTTCCCAACTTTACAGTGATAACATATCTAGAAAGCACCTTAAACAAGCAATTCACCCAGAGCTTTCAAAAGGTTCAGCATTCCATCAGGAATTTTATCATCATTTTATACTACCCACCGACTATGGATCGATGATATGAATCCAAACCAAAGGTTTACAGTAGAATGCTTTTTATCAACATGATCGGTCTGTATGGAGGTTAACTAAAAAGTTTGTTTGATGAATACCACTTTTTTCTAGTCACTTTACATAAAAACCTACAGCAGAATGACAAATTATCTTGTTCTTCATTGTTACTTGTAATTCCCCGTCAAATTGCTCGACCTCTGCTAGTAGATCGATCAGCTCCTATGCGGATTCTTTATTATTATTTATTTGTCCCTTGGGTTCCTAGTGGAACGCAGAGCTTCAGTAGCACGTCTCCAATGCGCTTTGTTCTCTGAAATCTTTTGAAACTGGCTCCACGACAGCCCAGAAGCTCTCACTTCCTCCTCCTGCAGAAGACCTCCAAAGTGGTTTCAGGTTAATGAACGCCTGTCTTGCTTTTCCGATCCTGGCTTTGACGTCCTTGCCTGCGCCGTCGCCTGTAGTTGAAATGATGCTGCCTGGATGGGTGAAAGAGGCTACTTCCTAAGTTTCTCCCGTTGATGGTGATTGAAGCTTGATGCTGCTTGGATATTCATTATGTTGTAGTCTGTTTCGGCGACCAGCAGTGGAGTTGTGAACGCGCGTTTCATCCTCCTTGGGATTCATCAGTTGGGTTCGCCTGCATCCTAGTGGGTGGTGTTGTTCTCGCTGAGACTCGAACGCAGTACCCGTCGCTTTAAATATGAAAGCATTATCCACCAGGTCACTGGAGCATGAAGAATTATAAGCACCGATAAACAATAACTAATACCCATTGCACAAGTGATGGCTGTCGTGCCCAAGTGACGTAGTGGGTAACACTTTGGTATCTTAAGCGATGAGTACAGGGTTCAAGTCTCTGAGTGAACATCACTCACTGGGATGCAAGTAAATCCAACTGGAGAGTCCCAGCGAGGACGCGACGTGCGTCCTGTATTCCACTGCTAACCAACAAATAGGCTGAAAAATAATATTGTTGCTTACTATTTGGAGTATTCAGTGAAAGTTTCAAACATGGTTGACACTCCTTTGATGTTTTTTATCATCATCAAAATATCTCTTCCAATGATGTTGCCACTGTCTGATCGAGGTTGTTATAGTTGAGACCCTGGTAATGAAAGTTTTACTAAGAAAAAAAGATTTGAACACACTTACTTGACTTGGTTCATGAGCAGATTGATTTTTTAAAGACCAATTGCGACAAAACTTGTTATTTATCATGAATTCATAAAGAATAAGTTTAATCTTGACGACATGATATTGATTATTGTTTTTGTAAGTTATTGGTAGATTCTGCATGTTTTAATTACTACCGAATTTAATGCTTTGCGTCGATTACTTATATGAATTAAACTGACTCTGTTCAGCTCTATGGCTACGTAACATGGCCATTAAAGGTAGAAGACACGAGAAGACTTCAGGTGTTTGACCACCGCTGCCTTCGTAGCATAGGCCAAGTTTCGTGGTGCCACCACGTGAGTAACGCAAAAGTTACATGTAGAATTTTAGAGAGGAGAGGTAAGTCATTTGATGCGGTTATAAACCTTAATTAACTGAGATGGCTAAGACACGTGTCACGTATATCTAATCACCGTCTGCTTTGTCATACAATGTTGGTCGAAATAGGTTCAGGCTGGAAAAAGGCTCAGGGCAATCAGAGTAAAACATGAAGTACTTGACTGTTGGTTTGAACCATGTAGGACGATGCAAACCAGCCGGTTAGGGTTGATGGGACAAGAGAAGTCAGTGGTTGAAGACTAGGTGATGTGGCTCAGAACCGATGTCAGCGGTGCAGATGTATACACATATTATCCTTACCTTAACCGCTACGCTTAATCTCATACTTCCTTCCTCTCTCATATCACTTTCTACTTCTGACCGATGCTACTTCCCTTCTTCATCTTCCATTTTATTGGCTTGTTATTTGATGTGCTGATATGAGGTGTGGCAAATTGGACCATTACACAGTAATGCCTGTTTCTATGTTGTTCCCAATGATGAAACTGGCTGGAAAGTCATCTTTTGCATTGAAATCGAGAGTTAAAACCAACTCAAGAACCTTGTACATATGCGTGTAGTAGGCAGTAGTGAGCCGCACATATAGTTGAAGAGTTAATGATACTGCTTGGGTGCAACTTGTCGGTTGGCAATCAAATCCCCATATGAATGAACCATCACTCCCATCTGTTGCATAGAATTATGTGTATGACAACTAATTCATTGCTTTTACTTTTTTTCACTGGTTACCATTGTGTCCTTGTCTTCTTTACCCTAACCTGTTTATTCTATGGTTTGCAAAAGAGGTTTGTTTATCTTACTATCGCCTCATGCGCATACATTTGTTTATTATTGTTGTCTCATCAGTAGATTTAAATCAAGCATGTTGTCCAGTTATTCATGTTTTAAGCGCACTTGTCTTATGTTACCTTCCATTCAGACTTTGAAGAAGTACTAAGCTAGTTTCTGTATTCGCTGTTAGGCTTATTATAATTTCACTAAGTTTGTTCTATACTGTTGTTTTGATTTTTACACTTACTATCAAAACACTGTACAAATGAAATTTCATTCTTTTCTCAAGGAACTGAATTTTAGCCATAGGAATGCGTTTTTAAACAATACAGCCTTTGTTCTACGCTTTATCGGTCTTTTTTGTATGGAAAGTGGCTTAGCGATTATTGAATTGGGATACAATTATTTATTCTTGTCTCAGTCATTATTTAATTGTATCACTCAAATAGTTTTTATAAAAGGAGAACTCAATATTTTTACTGGGTGTTGATTGAAGGTGAAATGAAACTTTGAACTTTGGTCGGATTCAAACCAGCGACCGCTGGGGGTTCCGGCCCTATGCTCTACCGACTGAGCTACGTGGTCCGACTGCTGACCAGATTTTTATTTCATTCCAATCACGAAGGATTTCGCCTGACTACCATGTGAATTCGTGACGCGTTACTATCAGCTGATCGTACTCACATTGGCTGCCTGGTCAAAACTTCTCATCCAAATCCAAATCTAACTGAATTAGAAAAGTCATTGACCTAGAAATTCGACTCTCGAACACTCTATCCCCTGGTGTAATGCCACTCAGTCTGCTTTGGCCTGAGTAGTATCATAACCGCTCACACAACAAGCTTGGTTCATAGTGAAGTGCATAAACATGTATCGGGTTGATTGAGAGTATTTGTTTCATTAGGCTTAGGAATATGAACTCACTAACTGATGATTGTGAACATCATATAATCGGTGATTTAAAGGTAATATTAGATTACATCAGTTGATAATTTTTGTTTCAGTGTTTGTTTACTGGGAAAGTATTAAGCAAGTATACGATGCATCTGAATGCTATCTGTTCAAACTGACAGAATCATTTTGAGACTTGTAGGAATCTATCCACTGAGGAGATGACAGTGAACAGTAGTTTTCTTGAGGTAGAGTTAATACTACTATTCCTAATGAACTGTGTTATAGACGTCATGATTCAGAGGTTTTGCTTACTTGCAACTTTTGTATGACTCAATTGGTAGTCGATAAGCACCATATGTACTTGAGATTTCACTTCTAGCTATCAGAAACATCAATTAAACAATTTTAAAACCTAACATACAACAAAATACCATTTCGAGAGAAGATATTCATTTCGAATTTGCGTACCGTGGATCCGGCACTTGAGAAGTATCCGACTATCTATCAAATGACGTGCATACTGCCCTGCAGTCAGTTCTGTTCTGTTGTACTACTGTGAAATATGATTAAGTAGAGGACATGAAGCGATTACAGATGTCTTCGTAGCATTCCTCGCGTTTGATGGAATCATCTTGTGAGCAGTGTTCAGGTCAAGCAAAGGGTATTAAGCAAGGAAGGCAAGTTGACTGAGATGGCTTGGGTGCATGTACTGCGGAGGTCTAGCCACAGCCTACCTCGATGTGCCATGTTAGGGAATGCTGGATTAGGTTGGAAGAAGGATCGTGGTGGCCAGACCAAGACATGATACCACTCGATGAAATCTCTTACTATTGGTCTGAGTCGTGTGGAGCAGTGTAGACTACCTGAGATGAAAAGAATAATTGTTTGAGGGTTCTCAGTCACAATGGTGCAGATATATTCACTACTTGACATCTTCGTAAGCTTGAATATTCGTACAAACCTCTATCTTGAGGTTGTTTATTCTCTCACATTACTTTATTTTCTTTGACATCACTTGTTTTGTCTATCCACCTGTTCTTTGTGTGCTACTGTAAAATGTGGCAACTTGACCCGATACACATATATGCGAGGTTCTACATGGACTTTGTCAGTCAGTCAGTTGGTCACCGAAGGTCCAAGGGAATAAGAATCAACTTTCATTATACTTCATCACCTATAACTGATTTCATCCTATGAACAGATGAATTGTTTAACAGTCGATTGCTAATATCTCTTTTAAGGTTTTTCAAATGTTTCTGTAAAATGTATTTTAACAAGTCGATAAAAAGAGAAGCAAAACTAAAAGATTAATTTTTACGTATCTATCAAATACTTTTCAAAGAATAGTGAGAGAAGAAATAAACCAATTATTGATCCTTTTCGCTTTTTTTCTCAATCCTTTGAATATAAGCGAGTTGTTACAGGCGGATGCGTTGATTAATAATAATAATTCTGTATTAAATCGAATGGTGGATTAGGTCAATCATCAACGTTAATCAGTCATTATTTTCTTGCATGAAATGATTACTTCATATCATTTTGTTGATCGTGTTTTAATTGGATCGCAAGTTGGATTTTGATTACTCGCATGCATGTTAAGTTTTTTTTAATTTTTAACACAGACTAGTTTAATACTCTCCCTTAATTCATTATTATGAAAATTATCGATACGAATAAGTGAGAGACCAATACAAGTGAATGTAAGTGTGTAGTGGTGATTGGAGTTGAAGGTAGATTTGAATTACTGAAGGATTTATAAGGCGGTGACTTCACAACGCTTTGAGTTGCTAACTCTTAGTTTCTTTTCTGTAGATGGATGAATGATTAAAAAAAATAACTTTTTTATCTTCACCAATTGAATCCTTATCTTATAAGTTCTTCTGGTATGAAGTGAGTCGCCGATGATTGGGACAACTCAGTTCTTTTTGACGCCCTAACCATACTAAAAGGAGAACATTTTAAGGAGAAATTATAAACAGTAGATGATACGAGAAAGTGTGTCAAAAGAATGTCGATATCTGTTGACCAATAATTGTTAGTAGTTATTGGCTATGAAAACAATATAGGAATGGAAATTAGTTAGGATTGTATTGAAACAGCTTATCACTGTTGAGACAACAAAACAACCTGCTTCACCACAATCCTCAACCTCGTATAAGTGGTTATATCACGTCCTATAGTGTTTATTGATTTAATAATGTGTGGTATAGGTGTTGCGTCATTTCTATTACTTGTGTTGACTCGGTGTTAACTCGATGCACAAAGATTCAGTAATCAATCTCTCTCAATGTCCACCAAATTATATTAGACTTGAGTACAATGGCTTTATCCTATCCTGTTGTTTGGTTATGTTAATGTATACATTGCAATGGCCGAATCTTTTTCTACGTTATTGATCTTATTCGGGTCGATCATTCTATATTTAGCTAAATTCCTATGTTCTGCTAATCCAACCGACCGCGACCAGCTACTTTGACCTATGTATTTGACCTCACAGTCATTACATGGAATTTGATAGATTAGATTATGTTGCTTATTGGTCCTATCGGATCTTTAGGCCGACAAAGCTTAAATCTGAATGAAATTGTAGGTTTCAATTCCACTCTAATTCCAGCTTTGTTGAGGATCCTGCATAAAGTTTCTGATGTACCTTCCTTATAGAGTAGCACAATAGAGACTTTGAACCCCTATCTACTGGTGTTGTCGCTAATTAATAGTATCCGTTTTAATGTTATTATTTTGTTTCTCATGTTTTCCTACAAGTTTTTCTTCATAAACTGCGAACGATAATTATTAACTATTAGCGCTTTTCTTATGTGCTTCAGTCCTATGTCTAGGTTTTTCCACTGACTGACTAATCAGTTTTCTAGCTCTATCATTTATACATTTGACTAGACCTGCCTTAACTGACATTGGATGAGATAACCTGAAGTCTAGATACGTGTCGGAATGTGTCAGTTTTCTGTAGATGGTAGTATCTAAACCACCGTCTTTCCTTCGTTTTATCCTGGAATCCAACATAGGTAATTCTTGTTCATTTTCTACCTCGTAAGTGAATTGGACTTCGCCTACTACTGAGTTTATGTGTTAGGAAGTTGTTGATATGTTCTGATTTCAATACAGTAAATGTGTCATCAACATATCGCCACTATATTTTTGGTGCAGCACTAAATGTTTGTAAAGCCATGTTTTCCCAACTATCTATAAATAACAAAAAAAATATCGACAGACATCCATCCTCATCTAGCATCTCATCGAAATGAATCATAATGTCAATAGGAAAGCAGCATTCAAGATACTATATAAAAAACAGTCAGGGGGCGCATACTGAAATTTGCCGAAGCGTTAGCCATTCGTAAACTTAAGCCCCCGTTGTGTGTACAAGAGCGATTCGTTGTTTCATTTAATTTACATTGGTAAACCTTGACAACCTGATTATGTTACCAAGACTAGTGTCACAACCTTTTCATATTCATACATAAATTGATTTGAGACAAGTGAATGTTTGGGGTATCAAGTTGTTCGAAATGTATTGCGTAAATACACATCACATATTGTTCAGGTAATCTTCGTCTTCTAATAATAGCGTTATCGAAATTTATTAAAGGGACTAATTGTTTCAAATTAAGAAATATGAACTGGAAAATTTATGAATTACGAAGTGAGTAAGCACAGGGAATGAGAAAATTACTTCTTCATGCAGATTTTCGGTTTCTGTTGTTGTTGTTGTGTTACCAAAGCGTCAACAATACAAATAAACGTTTTTGAACACGTTACACATTATAGACTAGTGCAGATAAGTCTCCTCAAACTGTGTATCAACTATCAACCAAATGATGTAATATGCTGGTAATTGATTTGTGTATGTATATATTTAACCTCGGATACTATTTGTTTTTTAAAAATTCAGGTCCATTGTCCGAAACTGTTGGTGATTTTTGGCAAATGATTTGGGATTATCATTGTCCTGTTATTGTTATGATTACCAAGTAAGTGTACACCATCTCTTATCTTGAGATTACTTTCATCTTCGACATTATATTCATTTTATGGTTTCATTTCTAACTGTTTGGTTAATTTAGTAGTCGAATAAGCTGGTGTTGAGGATTACGCTGCATCAAACTAGGTATACCATTTCAAGTTGGTATTCATCGTAGACTGACATCAGTTAAAGAAACAATGGGCCCCTTAGAGCACTGGATAGCTGTTTCGTCATAGTAAGGGACTCTTCAGCAGTGCGAACCCGCGACCTTCAGGTTCCGTGGCCAGCATGTTACCATTGAGCCACTGGGTCGGAATCCAATGGTCCATATTTCAACTTCTGTCAGTTTACGATATAGTGAGACCGCCACCTAATGTCATCGTTAAGTATTTGTCCTCATGGTTACCAGGTTTGTTCCACTGATTAGGACTTCTCACTGGAACTTCAGGAATCACCTCTCTAAGCTAGTCACCAGTGAGCACCAGCTCACTTAGATTTGAAAAGCTGAAGAGTCTTTTACTAGGATAAAACAGCTGTCCAGTGCTCCCAGGTTTCCATTGTTTCTCCAACTGATGTCAGTCTACGATGAATAGCAACTTGAAATATCTCTAAATCCCCACAAACCCCTCAAATTCTACGTATACTATAAACAGAATTTCAAACCATTGAGATGAATAACATCACATTTATTGACAATTGACTGGACAACTGAATGTTCGGTATGATGTTGTTTTTTCCTAGTGGTGACTACCGTTGGCATCTAGAATGTACACTCCGTTTTATTTGAGACTCGTAACTTGGATATGCTTGCATCGCAGTAAGTGATAGGGTTCCAACTGAGATTTCAACCCGGTACGCGTTATCCACTGGGCTAGTGAGTCATGCAAGCCATCTTTTATCCAATGGGCATCATTCGGTACTTGTTGATACTTGTGATTAGCTGTTGATAATCAGTCTTTGTTGACTTTATCGTCTTGTTTATCTGATACCTCAGTATTACCTCTAGCTTCATTTTGATGTTTTGCTATTTGGTCGGATACAATCGTCAACAGAATATTACAAGCATCAATAAATGATGAGTGATGAATAATTGTCATCATTTAGTGTACAACCTTCACCGTTGAAGATGCCGGACAAAATAGCTGATAAAGTTGAGGTCAGGTTGTGAGATCAAGCAACTGATACAGTTTATTCACTAGGTTGTTAAAATTTAGAGTTCAGCGCTGTTAAAATGTCTTTGTTCTGTAGTTATAGCATATTTTCCAAGTTGGTATTCATTATGGACTGACATAAGTTGGAGAAACATTGGGAACCTTGGAGCACTGGACAACTGTTTCGTCTTAGCATGGGACTTCTCAGCAGTGCACACCGACGACCCTACCAAGGATGCTCATTGGCGACTAGGTTCGAGAGATGATTCCCGAAATTCCAATGGAAAGTTATAACCAGTGGGGCGAACCTGGTGATGGTTGCGCTATGTCATGAACTGACGAAAGTTAGAAATATGGACCATCGGATTCCGATTCAGTGGCTCAATGGTAACTAAAAGGTCTTGGGTTCGATTCCTGATGGGAAGGGCTCGTAGGTGCTCACTAACTTGAAAAGATCACCAAGTCCCCACAAACTCCCGTATTCAATAACAGATTGCACTGTATAAGTTCATGAATTTCTCTGTGGTTTTTACGGTTTATCGTATACTTATCTAAGTATTTCTTTTGAGCTAGTGATTCTCAAGACTAATAGAGAGTTTTGTTATGTAACCAATAAGATTGTGATCTACGACAACAGTGTTTAAATCATATTCTTGTGTGTACTTTGATGTGAAGAAAGCCTTCAAAAAATAATCTTAACTCTGTCAACAACTGCATGGATCTTCATGAAATAGGCAATGAGCCGCTTCTACTTTGTGGAAGCTGATGATATTTGGCTGCTCAAACGTAAATTAATGGATTAGGATTCTAACCCGTAACCTGTTAATCGAAAGTTGATTGTCTAGACCAATGAATCACAATTCTATGTGTGGATGTTGAGGTTGGATATATATAGAATGTTGACAACTGGAAAATATATATTTAAATATAATAAACTCGAGACTGAAGCATATTTGCGGTTTTAGTTACTGTTTTTAGTACATATTGTGCGCAATAAGAACAACTGGTTAACACCACTTCACAATTGAATATATAATATTAAAACTGGAGTAAACTATTGACAAAGCTATTCAATGCGCAAACGCTTAACAGTATTTTAAGGAAATCAAAAAAAAATTAAGGAATTATCAATTATTTATGATGAATACCAACTTCAAAATCAATAAATAAATCCGCACAAACTCCCTAAATTGAATGTATTTAACTGATTGGTGACTATTTTCAAGAGGTGATTCTTGAAGTATCCAGTGAGAAGTCGTGACCAATGGAGTCAACCAAGTCGAACATAAGGACAGTTACTCAACGACGACATTGGATTCCAACCCATTAGTTCAGTGGTAAAATGCTGGCTATGGAACCTGAAGGTTCTCGGTCCGACTTCTGGGGGGGGGGCTCATGGGTGCTCACTACTGAGGAGTGGGATACTAGGATGAAACAACTGTTCAATCCTCCCAGATTTTTAATGTTCCTCTAATTGATGTCAGTCCATGATGAATACTAAGTTGAAGAAAAATATGTCCAGAACTAACTTTTCCGAGCATTTCTTCTAGAAGAATGTATTATTTAGGTTGTTAGATGGTTGAAATTGATCAGCGAGAAAACTTGTATCTGTCTATCTATCATGCTTATTGGCTCTTGTTTCAAGTTGGTAGATATACGGTGTTGTTGATTGATTGTGAGATGTGGTAGAATGATAGTCGATTGAAAGGGTGGATATAGATACAAATTAGCGTCATTGTGAATGATCAACTTTCATGACAGCGAAATTGTGGACTAATTGACTGTACTCAAGCTAAGCAAATGATAAAGAAGACCCAAAAATGTTCATCGTTCATTCACGGTGAATAGAACTCAAAATATTCTGATTGGAAAGCATACAACCCAACAGTGTAAAATCGAAGAAGAACAAGAATCAAGGTCATGAAATAACCAGTGTATATAAGATTGTCTCATTGTATGTCGTATCAGTTTATCCCTAATGTCAATTTGAATGAAATCTCTCTTTGAGAACTTCTTGTTGAATGCCGCCCTTGCCGCCACCTTTGCCATGACATCGTATTAGGTAAATAATAATGTCGAATTCTTTAGATTGGTGAATACATTACAAATTTGATGTTTCGAATTCAATTAGCCCTAAGGACTACATATAACCACTGATTAGTGCAAGTGAACAGTTATCTTTTGATTTTAGGTTGGTACTCATCATGCACTGATATCACTTGGAGGAATATTGGAAACCTGGAGGCACCGGACAGCTGTTCCGTCCCAGTATGGAACTCCTCAGGAGTGCCCACCCTTGACCCCACTTCCCAGGGGTTGAGCCCACAACCTTCACGTTCCGTGGCCAGCACGTTACTGTTGAGCCACTGAGTTGGAATTCAGTGGTCCTTATTTCCAACTTCTATTAGTTCACGAAATAGCGCGACCACCATCCAATGTCATCGTCAAATAACTGTCCTCATGTTTGACCTGGTTGACTCTATTGGTCATGACTTCTCATTGGAGCTTCAGGAATCACCTCTTGAAGCTGGTTACTGGTGAGCACTAGATTAATTCTATCTGTAGGTTTGTGGAGATTTAATAGATGATTTTAGGTTAAGGAATATGGGCCATTGGATTCCGACCCAGTGGCGCAATTTTAACATGCTGACCCAAGGAGCTGTAGGTCTTGGGTTCGATCCCTCGAGGGTGGGGTCGTAGGTGCGCACCGCTAATTAGTCTCATACTATGACTAAACAGCTGTCCAATGCTTCCAGATTCTTAATGTTCCTCCAACTGATGTCAGTCCATTATGAATTCCAACCTAAAATCAAATTATAAATCTCCACAAACCTCTTTTGAATTGATCTGTCATTATTCATGAGACTAACTGCCATAACTTTAGTTTGACACATATTAGCATCAAGTAATAATAGGGATTGTTGAAGTTAAAACCTGTATAGGACCATAGTTCAAGCCTGTGACCGCCGTAATCCGTAATAGTATGTAGCAGTTAGTCATCAGGTGAAAATTAGTGAATTATACAAAATGCTGATAATTTATATGGCAGTCAAAATCTGGTTCATTTTTATTTTTACATTGATTGGTCACTGGAGGAGAGAAGCAACCAATCTCTCATGTTGTCTAATTCTGAGTGTTGACCGAACTCTATGGATCATATTTCCAGTGTTGCCACCAAGCTAAGGAGGCTCACCATCGTGGTACACTTTGATAAATGTAAGCTGGTTGAAAGTAGTTGACAGGAAACTCTGCTCGACTTAGATTTCTTGTTTGTTTGCACTCGTTAACAAGGAGTATCTCTTTATACTCTACGGGCATGTTATGTACTACTTATAAAGTCGTTCAGTTAACTTGGTATATATTGGACAATATTTGACAGGAATTAATCAATGTTTTCAGTAAACAACGCAGAAGGCTTCTTTACTCTACCATCTTGATATCTGTATGTGTTTATATGTATATGATGCCTTAACACTTCTGTACAACAACAAGTAAACCCTATTATTACAGAGCATGGAAAGTGGAGTTTAAGATGTTTTTGAAAGTATACGGTACAGGTTAGAGATTAAGAAGCAATAGTTATAATAATAATCGCTTTATTCCAAACAATATGCATGATACGATACAGTATGGAATTTCCAGTGATGTACTGTGGTAGGGGTATGACGTAGGTTCTAATAATACGCGAACGAGATACCTGGACTGGATAAGAGTAATACGACTGTTCTCCCCACACCTTATACTTCACTGAGCCACGAGAATCAAAAAACAGAAGACGGCCTGCGGCTACAACAACAACAACGGCTTTACTAGACTAATGCGTTGTGTATATATATTTACAAAACCCTCAGACAATGAAGTCATAAATAAACCAATCCGATTCGTTGTATGACTTCGAATTTATCCAATCAGGTTATCATGTCAGTACCATGCATAAATTATGATCTGAAAACAATTTCTCTATTGGCTTCTTTTTTGTCGCTACCTATCACTCAGCATGTAAAATTTCAACAGCCATTCACAGAACAATATTTTGAAAACAAAATGATTTATTATTGCATCGAAATAACGCTAATAACTCTAGTATTAAAGGCAATAATGTAAGGCAATCGGCTGGAAGTTTCGGAGATTCGCCTCCGGTCTAGAATGGAGAATGAACAGAAAAGTGAGCCTGAGTGTGCTAGTGGTTGTAGTTTATTCAGCCAGTACAAGAGTCTACAATTCAAGCTCTTGTAAATATCGAAGGAATAGAAATTTTGGTCTATTTTAACGCACTAAAAAGTCCCTTTCCACTCATTGTGACTTTTTGTCTACGTTATATCATTAACTTTTAATAATATGCAAGAGTATATGGTATCTCCAGAGAATTTATTTAAATGAATAAAAGGAATTGAAAGGAAAGAATTTTGATATATCTATTTTCGTTCAGCGAAAAAGTTTGGTAGCCCCAAGGTTGGAACAGACAGTCGTCTAGTAATCGATGAACTCATAGCTTTCGTCATGTATTTCTTAGGAATTGAATAAGTAGGCTAATAGTCTGATTAGTTCATTGTAAAGAGCTTTAACTAATGCAGCCTAGTTTGATACAGGTTTGAATATCTGAGGAGACATCAATTCTCCTCCAGGTTGCTGATGAGGACCAATAGGGATGGAACTCAGTTCAAACGCGATTTCCTGCCAATTGCCTCCAACCAATTAACATAAATCGATGTGCACCATGACGGTGAGTCTGACAGCTGTGTGACCACATTACAAAAATGATCAGTAGAAATTCGGGCAGCACTTAGGACTAGACAACATGAAATTGGTTACTGTTCAGTGGATCAATCAACAAACATGTTTTTTTTAAAGTTTAAAGTAACGAGTGGATTATGTTAGTTTTTCCCTGATTAAACCGAAATGAGACAAATTTTTACCGTCATGGAAAAGAATTGTGTTCAAAATCTTATTTGTTACACAAGGGGGACGGAGACGAAACGCGCTCAGTTATGCTGTCACATCCACAGCCACACGTATTGTGCGAGAATTTTTGATGCTAACCAGCTTCTCGAACCTCTGTAGGTGTAGTGGGTTTCTAACTTTTGACTCACTGTTTGATAATCATCTCCGTAAACCAGTGAGTCACAGCTCCACCGGAGGTTGAAGGCGGAGTAGAGTAGTTTTTCTCAAGAACATGTGCCTTTTTTGTGCTTTACTTTGTAGAATTCTTGAAGCTCAGCGTTCCAAGTGCTATTTATATTGGCCAGATTCAGAAAATCAAAAGTTATACTTCAGTTCTGGTCATCCAGGTTGTTTGGTTGCACCATCTGGTCGACCGACTACTAGTAGTAGTAGTCTTCTTGCAAAGTCTGATATCACACCTGACTTTCTAATTGAAAATGTCAAATGTGAAGGCAATGGGAATTTCGCTCAAACAACACTTCGATTAACAAATTTACAGGTTAGTGCGGTGTAAAAAAAATTTGCTAATTGTTGACTATTCTTCTTCTTAGTTGTTATTGTGCATTGTTAAGTGATTAGTAAATTATGGATCACTGATATCAACCCTACTCAACACTACAAGGTGTTCAGTTAGTCAAGTGATCTCATTAACACTTGGCTGTAAATGTTACTCATTGTACTGTACGTGATTGTTGGTCAGGCTTTGGAAATAGAATATATGAAATGGTTACAAGTTTTTTTTTCATCATCACCACCATAGGCTTGGCAGATAATCAGACGAAAAGTTGACTACTAACCAATGAAATCTTTGACTACTGTTCTGAGTGGTATAGGAAAATATGTAGACTGTTTGGTTGAGGGTTCCCCCCCCCCAGCAAGGTAGGAATCAATGGTTTTGGACTAGATGATATAGCTAAAACTTGGTGACAGTGTGATATGAGATATGAGGCAACTTGGAGTGTTACACAGCAATGCCAAGTTCTATTTTTTTTTCTTTGTCTGTCTCCATCGAGGAAATTTCTTTTGTCTCCCTATCTGTGTTTATTTAATGCTTATTTTTAAAGTGTGTATCAGTGAAGGAATCTCTTTAAAGTTAAACACATTGAATATCTCAGGTTGTTATTCATCGTAGACTGACATCAGTTGGAGGAACAATCTGCGATGAATAACAACTTGAAATATTTCCAAATCCGCACAACTCCCTCAAAATTCAATTGAACTGATGCTCATTGGTGACTAGCTTTGAGAGGTGATTCACGAAGTTCCAATGAGAAGTCGTGACTAGTCGGGCTAGCCTGATGGTCGTGAGGACAGTTACTCAACGATGACATGGGGTGGCGGTTGCGCTATATCGTGAGCTAACAGGAGTTGGAAATATGGACCGTCGGATTCCGACCCAGTGGCTCAATGTAACATGCTGGTCACGGAACCTGAAGGTCTCGGGTTCCATCCCTGGCGGGGTCGTGGGTGCTCACTCCCGAGGAGTTCCATACTGGGACGAAACAGCTACCCAGTGCTCCCAGGTTTCCTTTGTTCCTCCAACTGATGTCAGTCTACGATGAGTAACATCCTAAAATATTTCTAAATCCCTACAGCTCCCTCAACATTGAATATCGTCTACAAATCATTATGCCTTCTACATATTTGTTATTTTTAATATCAATTTATACTTTACACATTTTTTCTCTTTATTCTTATCTATATATTTTGAACTCATGCTCATTTACTAAAAGAGAAGAAAATTTTGTGACCCGCATAATATATCAACTGATAAAACTGAAAACTTCAACTATACTATTGATATTCTATTAAAATTGTCAATAGTTTATCTTGGTTCAGCTAATTACATGGTGCTGTTCTTTTTTAAAGTATAGATTACACCAATACTACTTTGTGTTTGTGTATGTCAGTCAGTCAGTCATGAGGTTGACTTGAAAGATTATCGAGTATTTCGGCTTTATCAGAAATACTGAACATTTATAATTACTACCAAAGTATGACATCTATAGTAAGTGGATTAGTTTCTACAGTGACTGTAACTCACTATAGGCTACTACTTTTCAGAACGATCATTCCACTACAACTGAGGCAACTAGCCTAGTGTCTCTATGATTTTACCAGCTAATATAATGCTTGTCGCTTATAATTTTGTTCAGGTTCGATCAGTGTTTCGATATTTACTGTTTTAAGTTCTTAATAATAAAGAGGTTTGTTTACCCTTGTACAATATAATTGGTATGTATTTTTGATCTTATGGTTCATTGGTTTAAGCAGTTCACGTTGAACTGGTGGATCGTGGGTTGGGTAAGATGTCCGGGGAGCTATGCTCATCGAGTGGTGTCCGTCAAGTGTGGCCACTCTCTCCATTCTTACTCAATTTTATCATAGATATACTTATGGAGGTCTCCCTCTCGTCACCTGACTACACAGAAGTTGACCTAATCACTGGGGAATTTTCGTTAGACCTAGAAAATGCAGATGACGTAGTCCTGTTAGGTGAAGACGCTTATAAGATACAAAGTCTTTTAGACACATTTAGTGACAACTCGAGAATGTTTGGGATACTTTCCTCACCACCTACGTGCAAATTGTTGCTCCACGATTGGTCTTCAACGGTGCCACGGCTAACAATAGAGAGTGTAGTGATTGTGTGTCGACCACTTCACTTACCTAGGAAGTAGGATCAGCCCCGGTGGCTGGCTCAGTGGCCGATGAAATCTCTGCACGAATACAAAAGGCTCGGTTGGCTTTCGCCAATTTACGCCACCTATGACGCCGCCATGATATCCGATCGTCTTTTAAGGGTCGCATGTACTGCAGCTGCACAGCAGTCCGCTGTGTTCTACTGTATGGCTGTGAAACGTGGCCATTGAAGGTGGAAGGCATGAGAAGCCTTCAGGTGTTTGACCACCGTTGTCTTCGCAGTATAGGCCGTATTCTGTGGTATCACCGCTTGAGTAACGCACAAGTCAGGTGTAGAGTTTTAGGGAGAAGAGGTAAATCAGTTGATGAGGTTGTGAACCTTCATCGACTAAGATGGTTGGGACACGTGTTATGTCTGCCTAGTCGCCGATGGCCTCGTCACAATGTTGACCGAAGTAGATTCAGATTGGAAAGAGGCCCGAAGTGGCCAGACTAAAACATGACATAAATGTATGAAGTGTTTGACTGTTGGTTTGAGTCATGTGGGGCGATGCAGACTGGGTGGTTGGGATTGGTGGGACAAGAGGAACCAGTGGTTGGAGACTCTAGGTGATATGGCTGAGAACTGATGTCAGTGGCGCAGATGTATGCACACATTATCCTCATGTTAACGCTATACTTGATCTCATCATTTTTTCATTCTTCCTTTCTCTCTTTTAGTACTTTATATTTTTCTTGAGTGAATTTTCTTTTCATCATCTTCCATTTCATTGCCTTTTTACTTGATGTACTGATATGGGGTGTGATAACTCAGACCGTTATGCAGTAATGCTTGGTCCTATGTTAATTTTGATGATGATGATGATGATGATGATCGTGGGTTGGAATTCCTCTGCTTGCATTTCGCTTTTTCCGCTTTATATAAATACTCACTGTAATTTAAAAAATCCATCCTTATTTCATAAAAAAAATTTATGATAGATAGTGGCTAGCAGTAGAACCCAGGGCACGCGTCTCGTCATTTTTATGATTCGTCAGTTGGATACGCCTACCTCTCAGTCCGGGTTTGAGTTCTAGTGGGGACAAAATTACTCATTGGGAAGCAGATACATGCAGCTGACTAATCCGAAATAGGATGAAACGCTTGTCTTGAATCCCACTGTTAGTCGCTGTGCGTCATTAATATATAAGTCAAACACGAGCAATATCGAGGGATCTGCGCAGGAGCCCATATGCCACTAGAGACGTATCAATTCGGTCCACTCAACGACGGGATACAAGCGAAACTATCGGAAAGAATAATTGTTGTTAGTCGGAAAAATATCCTTTGGCATTAGGATCTTGCTATGGATTTATGCAATGGGTAAACGGAATCATACAGGGTTATACAACAGATGGAAGTCTCTGTTTTTGCGGTTGTTTTAACTTTTATCCTAGTTACTGAACTTTAATTCCTATGATTGCAGATTTTGATAAAGAAAATATGCATTCCAATCCGGTATATGTTTATGTAATAGTCTATGAGCCACAATTGTTGTGTGTGACACTGCCTATTTGGACAAGTTGAAGTTGGCAGTGACGGATTCGAAGACCAAGGGCCATCGATTAAAAACTGAGTGTATCAAATCGTGAAACGAACGAACGGAACTTACATCTAGGGCTTAATGTTAATTGCTTGATAGACTTTCTTTACGCCATCTATGGCGCAGCTACGAAATCTTATTGTCGTATTGTACTACAGTTCACTCTCGTCTACTGAATGGCTGTGAAACATGACCATTCAAAATTAAGAACATAAGATTTCTGGTGTTTGATCACCATTGCCTTTGTAGTTTAGGCCATGTGTCAGTAACATATGACATATAAAGCTTTTAGAAGGAAAAAAACTCAGTTGATGCGGTCGTGAAGCTACATCGACTAAAGTGCGTAAGACATGTGTTACGGACGTCTGGTCAGCACCTGTCTCTTCCCGCAACGGTAACTTAAGTAGGTTCGCGGCCACCTGTTATATTTTTCGAACGCCAACAGATATATATATATATATATATATATATATATATATATATATATATATATATATATATATATTCCGAATGAATATAATACGCACGCTTAACTGACCGCCAACTTAGTACGCAAGAGCCACTGACTGCCACCCGGACGAATAGAGAGAAGACCGAAGCTGGATGATGGGAGAGTTTATTTCTCCGAGAATATAAGAATAATCAATTCCAAAACACATGAATATATACACATGAAATATGATCTCCGCAATTTGACACATTTGCATAGTAAGAGTAAAGACTAACCAATCAGCGAATTACATTACAATGGGGCAGAAAATAAACTACTGGTCATAGCGTAAAAATGGTGTGAGAATGCCAAGTTAGAAATGTTTAGGCCAGTAACAATGTTTTATACAAAACTGGGGCCTTACAACACCAGATTAAAAAATGACATCAGTCCATGAAATCTTTGACTGTTGATCCAAGCCATGTTGAGATGCAGACTAGCCGGTCGGTGTCTCTGTGACGACGGGAATCAATGGTTGGGAGACTCTAAGTGATATGGTTGAGAATCGATCTGTTATTGGTGTAGATATGTCCACACTTCATCTTTGTCTTAAGTGCTATACTGAATTAAGCACTTTCTTATTCCTCGTTCCTTTCGTCGACTGCCTTTGACCGATTTTTCTTCATTTTTCATTTAATTACTTCGTTATTTGATGTGCCGATATGTTATATGGGAATCTGCATTGTTACGCAGTAGTACTAGGCCCTATATTGATACTGATGATGATGATCTAGACCTGGGAAAAATATGATGAATCAAAATAACTCGCTACTGAAACACTTCAAACTCTTATGTTTGCTGAAATGCAGCTGATAAGTTCCAAGGAGACGAAACACTGGGTTCCTTATCTAACCACTGATAAAAGAATGCAAAAATTCTGTAAACATATAATGTTGAAGTTTTGTATCAACACAGACTAATCATTTGCATCCTGAGGACCAACTTTGAGAAATTTCAGGCTCAAATTTTATTATTATTATTTATCCCTTCGGTTCCAAGTGGAACATAGGGCTTCAGTAGCACGTTATCATTTCACTCTCTTCTCTGCAGTCTTTTGAACCTGGCTCCACAACTGCCCATAAACTTTCATTTCTTCCTCACACCATCGCCTCCATGTCACCTTAAGGTGCCCAACCCGTCGTTTACCATTTCGGTTCCGCCCGAGGGTATGGCCTGGCGCGTGATGTAGCCAAACGGTCTTCTCAGTGTATATCCAATCCGATCCAATCCACCTCGACTTTCTTCTGCATATTTGTTTGGCGATAGGTTATTGCTTGGTTAGTTCGTTGCTAAGCCAGAGTTTCTTGTTGCTTATTCCTTCTGGCTATCTGATCTTCATTATGGAGTGAGCGTAGGCGGCAACTGTTGATGATGTATGTCTGTAGTTTGTAGGAAATGCTTTTCATAACGCACTAATTCTGTGAACCAAATATACTAGCACTGACTTCATCGAGATTAATGTTGAAAATGCGCATCTCGTTGTTTATGCTGAGTGCAGTGCAGTGCAGTAGATCTCCACACTGATTTCAGATGAATGAAGGAAGACCTGTCTTGTTGTCTTTCTGATACTGGCTTTGACATCCTCATCTGTGCCGTCGCCTGTAGTGGAGATGATGCTGCCTAGGAAGGTAGGTCGGTGAAAGAGACAACTTCGTTTAGATTTCTCCCGTTGATGGTGATTGGTGCTTGTTGTTGGAGGTGGTAGTGTCTATTGAGTATGTTCATCACTTCTGTCTCCTCCACGTTCACTTAAAGTCTCGAATCCCTTCGCTGCCCTGCCTCTTCTGTCAACTTGTTAGTTTTCGCCTGTAGACCTTCGGGTTTGTGGGACAAGACATTAGACATAAATCATCATGGGCAAAATCCAAATCTTCTTCTGGGGTCTGTTCATCGGTCAAGCATAGTATACCCCTTTTCTCGCTCCTCACAGTTGTCTGTTGCATGATCCAGTCGACCACAATAAGGAAGATCATTGGTGGTGATAGTAGGCAGTCTTCTTTTGTCTTACTCCTGTCTTCACTTCAAAAGGATCACTGAGCTTTCCATTGTGAATCACTTTGCATGTAGCATCGTATAGCATATAGCTGTTGAATGAGGTTGATGAAGGTTTGTGGTATTTCTTTGTGTTGAAGCAGCTGCCTACTAAATGTCTTTTCGGTCGACGCTCAGGCCCAAATAACATTCCCTAAATTCTCAATCAGAATATAACAAGGAGAAAAAGGATTTCTACATAAGAGAATAAGCTGTTGATTGCATAACCTTTGGTATATGCTAAAAAGTCAACCATTACAATATACCACAGGGTCTTTCTGAATCTACTAAAGTCTCAAACTATTCACACTTTTTTCTTGTTTTAATTATTGGCGTTATTTTGTTTGCGGTTTGTATAATGTCCATACAACAGTGTAGAGTTAGTTCATATGTATTGCTCATGTAAATCTAACAGAAAACTTGGTAATCGATTCACATAAATCACCTTTCAATTAGATTTTGTAATCCTGTATGCGTGTATGTTGCTTTTCCATTGTTTATACACTACGTTTTCTGTTCTGCTTGAAAAGAACTTTATGCATGTGTATATATGTATAAAGGTTTGTTTGAGGTTTTCCTTTTGTATACTTAAAGTACTTTGGTAGAGACATGGATGTTTTGGTGTTTAAAAGGAAATGTTTCCATTTTTCTGCTTCATTTCAACTATTGATTCATCTCTTTAAGAAAATGGTCTTTTTAGATCCATATATATATATATATATATATATATATATATATATATATATATATATATATATACGCTGAACGCGTTTTACTATTCATATGGTCTTACACGATTAGCTTAAGTGATGGGAAAAAAGTATAGTTATTAAGGCAATTCGCTTTAATTTATTCTTTTTCCTTCCTTCTGTTCTGTTTATTTCAGCCGTTTTGTCTTACTTCAAGAAAACTGTAAGGTAGTAGTATTCATCACGTACCGACATCAGTTGAAAAAATCAATAGAAACCTGGAAGCGTTGTTTCATCCTGGTATGAGACTCTTCAGTAGTACATTCCCATAACCCTGCGAGGAGTTGAACTCAGGACCTTCAGGTTTCACACTGAACGTGATGATCATTTAGCCACTGTGTCGGAGATCAGTGGTCTACACTTTCCTACTTTTGTCAGTTCGTGAGACAGCGCGATTATCCTGTTGGCATCCGCTTTACTTACGACTGACTAACCCCCCAGGTTACGACTTCTCATCAGTACTTCGAAATGTTTATTTTGAAGCATGTCACTAATGAGTGGTATACACTTATGTGTTTTGAAGTTAATGAGGATTTTATCTGAATCCCGATTCAGTGGATGAACAGTTAACACGTTCGCCGCGAAACATGAGAGTCTTGAGTTTGAACTCCGGTGGGGTTGTGGATGTGTACTGTTGAGGAGTCAGTCCCATATAAAGACGAAACAGCTATCTAATGCTCCAAGATTTTCAGTGGTTTTTCACATGTCAGCCTGTGATGAGTAATATCTTAAAAATATGATCCTCACTAACCTCAAAATACATGAGCATATTTTCGCTGAACAATGTGTGTGTGTGTTTATGAGTGTGAAAGACATTATCTTTTGTTTAAGTGGCTTATGTGCGTAAACATCTCGGTCCAAGCGTCTTGTGTAGGCACGTCAGATGAACTACTCAGCGTCACTGTGAAACAATGCTGTTTGAAATGTGTCAAAGCATGGGGCTGCACAACCTCTTTGCTAACAATAAGTAGTAGAAGAGGTGGTAAAATAGTAGTAATGATCAAAATGTTGTATGTATATGAAACTTCAGTAGACTATTGAGAGAGTATGAGTATGTTTATCTGCCGCAACCAAGTATAATGTGTTAGGTATGGATAACGTATGAGTATTCCACATCTTCTGGTGTTTCAGTTTATGGTATACTCATGTTGGGTTTGTTTTCTTCTCAAGGTGAACTACCCAAAGTTCAGGAAATTGTACTGAAGTGCTACCGTTTATCTCTTCAATCGATGTATTGTTTTGTTCTTGCATTGTATTCAGATTTCTATCCCCCTCTCTTAAAATGAAAAGTCTTGTCGTAGATATGATGAATTGTATACTGGGTCATAAGAAAATGTAACTTATATAGATACAAAGATGTTCTAATCTTTTCGATAGATTTATTATTTCTTCTGTGTGGATTACATTTTTTCAACTGTCGATTTGTTTACCTTTATTCCTTTTCTGTGCAGATCAACTAGACTAGACGTGAATTCGCTGAACAGTATTCATACTGCCTAGTAAACAGATAGGTATTCGAGTGGAATTATGTCGATGCTTCTAGTTACATCACTGTAGAGTTTTTATAGGATAATAACTCATCGTATAGGGTTTAACCCATCTATGATTAAAAGACTGACAGTGGGAACAAAGTTAGTGTAGAACCTTGCAGACAAGTGCGTCACTTCAAGTTCCTCTATTTCACAGCAACAGACAAAGAAGGAGTAGATAGGGAAAAATTAATATCAGAGTAGATAAAGGTGTATGGGAGTAGAAAGAATTTCATCGAGTCTACAACCGTTAACTCCCATACTGTTGGAGATCACCCTATCCAGGTAGTCGATACCTTTCTACACGGCCGAGACTAAACGTCAGAGGCTTCATGGACTGGTGTCACGTCTTAATGGAGCTATCCTGAATCCTCTTCGAACTCAGTTCATCTTCAGCTAACACTGTGCGTTAAGGTAGATGGTGACTTGGCATACATGATATGTGTTCAGGCTAGCTGAGTCGATGAACTCATCGAATAACTTACACACGTCGCCTTGTATACTCTTCTCCCAACTTCGACATTGCTCACCCAATGATACCTGGGGTCAACTCGAAAAAATATGTTAATCGTAGACTTCTATTCTGTGTTTCTTCATCACAGTTTTTCATGGAATCATAAAAGGAAGGAAGTTGGTATCAATAAACAGTTTAAGATGACGGAAATGCTTATCTAACATGTGTTTGCTCTGAATCAAGGGTGTACGATCAAATTATTCTATTCACGCTATAAGCTATACCTAGTACTCAAATGTCAGTGATATTATCCAGTTACTCAGACTTGGGCTTCGTGAAGACTTTCTGTTTAGTTATCCTTTAACTAATCTGTTGTTGTTTGTTTCCTACTGATAAGCTGTAGTTCATTCGCCTAGAAAACACTGATTTCAAACTATGGGTTGCACGTTCGAACCCGTCGGTCTACTAACCAAGAAGTTTACACCCGGATGCTATCATTAGCTTGCATGCAGCCAGTGTAGCTCATTGTTTTTGTCGTATGGACCTTCACATGTCTGTTATGTTACATTATCTCTTTCTTTGTATTACTGATTATCCGGCTATGGATTTACAGTTCCTGAAAATTTCAGGTTTTTCTTCTCTTGTTTAATAATAACTCAACGTAATTTCCAAAGGATAAGCACTGTGATGTAACTCATGTTATTATTTTCTTATCTTGGGACAAATTTCTCTTCTTTTTAGCTGAATGAAATACGGACTATTGAACATTTCGCTTTTTTTTCATGGCCTGATCATGGAACACCTCAGACAACTGCAGGTCTATTGGATTTGCTCACTTCTGTTCAATCCACATATTTGAAAGCGATTGAACAAATAGGATACACATCTTATGAAGATCAAGAGATTCCACCTCCGCCAGTTGTGGTTCATTGTAGTGCAGGTATCGGGAGAACAGGTATGTATCTGCATAACATCATTTTGTCATTTCATCCCACAGATTTTTGATGATCTTGATGGGTTTAATAGAAATTTTTGAAATGTTCCTCCAAGATTACCATAAAACTGATTGCATCAAGCAGTTTTTTATTTTGTTTCCTCTTTACTGATAAATAGAAAACTTGCTCTTCAGACTGTTGAGAGCTTTACTCACTCCACATTTGGCTCTGAAGAGCTTTACATCGCATAAATTCATGCAGTTATAAGTTTTCGCATGAAAATGAAGAGGCACTTCATCTTTGTACATATATAGATAATAACCTAAGCCGAATACACTTCAAAAGTAGGAGTTGTACTCAGCTGCTCAATATGTGGATGAAATATACTTAGTTGAATATCTAAACTGATGAACCTCCGTTCCACAGGAAATGGTGCGTTTCATAACTGGGTTCTTAGAGCGCAAATGTTGGTAATCGGTAGTTGATGACCTCAAATGAATCGGTTTCAGTGGTCAGAATATTTACACTTTTCCTGCGTTATACGACAGACAAAGTGCATCGATTCAAGTTGCCACACTTCGAAGTAGTATACCAAGAACAAGTGAATAGAATTAGGGTGATATCAAAGTAGACAAAGTTGTATGAGAGAAGCGAAAATCGAAAGATGAAGGTTAGGGCGAATATTCAATCTTATAAAGATGTCAAGAGTGATCGATTTTCAATCATGTCATGAATAGTCCTGAACCACTGATTCCTTTCGTGTCAGGGACCCAAACCAGGTAGTCTACATCTCCCAACACGACTCAGACCAACATTACGAGACTTCAACGACTGAGCGCCACGTCTTGGTTTGACTACCCTGAACCCTCTTCCAACCCAATTCAGCTTCCCTTAATATATCACTTCGAGGTAGGCGATGGGTCGGCATACACAGTACATGTCAGAGCTGAATCAGCCGATCAAGTTTCACAGTCTCATCAATCAACGCATTGCTCACATGATTAGTCCACCAAACACGAGCAATGATATGAAGACACCCGTTATCAAAAACCTGTAAGGGCTTCATATATTCTACTTTTAATGGCCATGTCTCACAGGCATATTACAGGACAAAATGGACTGTAGTGCAGTATGGTTGTTCTTTGATAGATAGTTGGATAGCCCTATGTGAAACTATGACAACAAAACTTTCAACTGTTAAGTTCCAAATTCGATATTCTTTCATAATTGCAGGATAAGACACTTGAATAACAAATTATGTTTTGAATTGGGAGGCTTGTGAGGATCTGGTGACTTTCAAGTTGGTATTTATCATGGAGTGAGACCATTTAGAGAACCACTAAAAACCTGAGATTATTGGACAGCTGTTTCGTCCTAGTATCCCATTCCTCAACAGTGCGCATTCATAACCCACCCTCCAGGGATCGAACCTACGACCAGCACACTAACATTTGACCACTGGGTCGGAATCCGATGATCCATATTTCCAACTTCTCTCAGTTTATGGTATGCTGCGACCATCAACCAATGTCATTGTTGCATATTTGTCCTCACGTCCATCAGGTTTATCCCACTGGTCACGACTTATGATTGGATACTTCAGCAATCACCTCTCAAAGTCAGTCACCAATGAGCACTATGGACCATTGGATTCCGACCCAAAGGCTCAATGGTAAGGTTCTGGCCACGGAATCTGAAGGTCTTGGATTCGATCCCTGGAGGGTGGGGTTATTGGTGCACACTGTTGAGGAGTCCCATACTAGGACGAAACAGCTGCTTAGTGGTTCTGGGTGTCCAGTGTTTCTGTCAATGATATCATTCCATGATGAAAACCAATAATATGCTTTGTTTTACGTATGGTTTATGGACAGTCTAATGTAATAATGGGTGTAGGAAAAAGGTGTTTTTTCTTCAGTTTTACTCATACTCTCTGTTGTTCAATCAAAATTGATGAAGAAGCAGGTAATTTAATTCATATCACAAAATATTTGGCTTGTATAAGAATGTATGAGTTCTGTAACGATTTATCTCATTTTAATCAGGAGTGATAATATCGTTGCAGGTACTGTAGTTGAAAGTGAATTCATTTACGCATAGCGTTTTGGTCTCTTTCCCAATCCCCCTTGTATGAAGGAGTATCAAGTTAAACTGCATATACATTGGGCTGAACAAGATTTAAATTTTCAAGGTTATTTGAACACCTTACGTAAAGTTGATATGTTGGGAAGCGAGTGAATACTGATCCTTTGGTACTGTTCACCTTAGAAGATTAGCTTCATCTGTTTTTAGAATACACTTAGTAGATTACTATTAAAATGCTTTTATCTGGCTTATGTGTTTGCAAAGTGCATCAACAACCTTTGTCTAGTAACTCTCGATGGATGTTAAAACACAATCATTTCTGCTACCTTGTGTTATTATTATTTGTCACTTGGGTTCCTAGTGGGACATAAGGCTTCAGTAGCACATCGCCATTTCACTCTCTCCTCTCCAGTCTTTTCAACCTGGCTCCACAACTGCTCAGAAGCTTTCATTTCTTCCTCACGCGATCTCTTCAGTGTCACCCTCGCCTCGGACGCTCAACTCGTTTTTCATTTGCCTTCCACTCGAGGGCCTTGCCCTGACCTGACGCGTGATGTTCCCAATCGGTCTTCTCAATGTATGTCCAATCCATCTCAACTTTCTTCCGCATATTTGTTGGGCGATAGGTTGTTGCTTGGTTGGTTCGTTGCCAGTCAGCCGGAGTTCCTTATTCTTATCATTCTGGCCATCTGATCTATCTTCAGTATGGAGTGAGCGTAGACGACACCCGTTGATGATGTGTTTGTAGTTTGTTGGAAATGCTTTTCATATAGCGCCGAGTCTCTCAACCATAACATAGAAGTGCTGACTTGACTGACAATAATGTTGAAAATCCGGATCTTGTTCTTTATGCTGGGTGCAGTGTAGTCTATGATAATAGCTTTTAGATCATGAAACTAACGAATGCTGAAATGGATAGTATAAAGTTGTTGCTAATATTCGATTCAACTGCATTCAATGTAGTATTCATCATGAGGTGACATCAATTGAATAGCGATTGATAGCATAGGAGCACTGGGTAGTTGTTTCGGTAGGACCGAGTTTGAGGCTCTTGAGCACTCCACACTCAAGATTTTACAATCACTTTGGCGGAATTCATTGGTCCGGATTTCCTTTCTTCAATCAAATCGCGATACAGCCTAATCACCACTCAGTCCCATTCATGAAAAGTTTTATTCACATTCAAGAACTGATGTTTCTTGGTTTGGTCTCTTGAAGTCATCGGTGCAACCTACTGACCAGTCCTAAAAGAGGATGAAATAAGCTGTTCAGTGACCCCAGGTATTCCATAATTCTCCGGCTGATATCACTGTATGATGAATACTACCTAGGAATCCACTAATCTCCATAAACCACTAATTGAGGTAGTAGATTTACTTATAAAACACATAATTGTCAAATAATATCGATTCAGGCGACTAAGGATTTGGCAAATATATCCAAATAATATCTCTCTTTAGATACACCTTAATTATTTAACTAACTAAATCTTTAAAGGAAGTTCCATATTGATTGGTCATTTGAGAGTACCTAATTTCACTTTGTTTAGTCCTAAGACCTGGCCAAACTCTTCCTATTGTTTTGGAGTTTAGCCATTATGTTGAGAGATGTATTGTCGTAATGTCCTTTGATGGATATTAGTTAGTTAGAGACGATTGGGAAGAAACCCTGGTTTGCCTAAATTTCATGCTTGTTGGCACTCATTAGAATTTAGGACTGCATAACACTAAATTGTCGATTCTAATCCAATCGTACAGCAGATCAGTGGTAAGGTCTCTCTGACTGCAGGACTGGTTGACACAGATTCGAATCCCTTAGGGGACATCAGTTCGCTTGAGGTTGTAGACAAGCCTTACTAACGACTGCGCCAACATACACGGAACTAGGTCAAGCATGGTTTCTTGTTGATTGCCTGCCACTAACTAATGGAATCTTGTCAGAAACTGTGAACATCGTCAAGAAATCCAATCTTAGAACTAATTTGTGTCACTTGAAACAACTTAGTAGTGGTCAGCCAAGTGACCCTTTTACTAAGGAGAAGGAACATAACAGGAAACTGAAATGTTTTTTTCCACGAGTCATCCGTCAACAAAATTTGTTCGACAAGAATACTTTTTTTTCTGGTTAGTTCTTAAGTATGTGGTTAAGACAGTTATTATGTATACCTCCAACGTTTTTGGCTTAACGAATAGATACATTGAGCCGTGATTAGGTTATGGATTTCTAACAAAAAGAAAGTAGGTGCTTTCAAGCATAATGAATGTGGTCATTGGTGACTGACTTTGAGAGGTGATTGCTGAAGTATCCAATCATAAGTCGTGACCAGTGGGATAAACCTGATGGACGTGAGGACAAATATGCAACAATGACATTGGTTGATGGTCGCAGCATACCATAAACTGAGAGAAGTTGGAAATATGGATCATCGGATTCCGACCCAGTGGTCAAATGTTAGTGTGCTGGTCGTAGGTTCGATCCCTGGAGGGTGGGGTTATGAATGCGCACTGTTGAGGAATGGGATACTAGGACGAAACAGCTGTCCAATAATCTCAGGTTTTTAGTGGTTCTCTAAATGGTCTCACTCCATGATAAATACCAACTTGAAAAAGGAATGTTATTAAATTGAATACTTGGGCACTTCTAACTGAGGCGTAACACTTTCCTTATTCACACATCCTCGACGTCATGATTATGTGACGGAAACCCTCAAGTCAGTTCGTTTATGGAACTAGCTTGAAGCAGATAGTTACTTGAGTATTTTTACGACGTGACTTAATGGATAATTTCATCCGTTCTAGTCGACTACTTCATACATACGCTAAGAAAAACGTAGCTGTCTACAGGATACGTAATCACGAATTTGTCAACTGCTGTCATATTCTTATGCTTACTTGCGAGTATTCATTAGTACACAAGATAGTGGATGTTATCGTTTTGTTGAGCTGTTTCAAATGACCAGATTTCGGATATTTTGATTTGTATACAACTCGATATACTTCAACTTAGCGGAATAGCTATAGCCTTACATGTTAGTCTGTATGCCAGATTTATTGTTTTAGCGCTGAATATACTTCCCGTTTGTTCTGGTCAAACGAAATCAGTGAAGGAATGAACTTTTAACCGTGAATGAATCTATCATCTGAAAACTGTTGATGGGGGAACTAGGGGGAACCATATCGATATAATTCGATCAGGGTTATCGTTGAGGAAAATGTTAAAGGACATGTTCACGTCTCTGTTTCTTCTCTATTATTATTGTATTTCTGTGCCTCTCCACACACTACCTATTCGTCGTACCATCAAATATAATCTCAATAGGATCTTACTGGCGAAATCAATCATGCATATAATTTATTCTCCGTACTTATTTTGTCAAGAAAAATAGCTTATTAACGTGTAGTTCTCATTCGGCAGCCTGGTATTAGAGTGTGCATATTGGTTTGCATGGGATTCCCTAACTTATGCAATCCTGATATGCTCATTGTTTATATCTGAAATTCGGTCAGAAATATTTGAGAGAATATTTGACAAGTTTTCTCAGAATATTTTCATTCATTGGTCTGAGTTTGTTTTTGTTTTACTATGAATCTGAATAATAATAATAATAATAATAATAATAATAATAATAATAATAATAATAATAATATAATTTACTTGATTTCGCTTTCAGTAAAAGGTCTAACAAAGCATATAGTACAGCACCGATTTCTTGACAGATTGTGATTTCCACACACATACACACACAAGGAAATAGAAAGCTTCTTCAATCTAATTTCGTTACTATTATATTGTTCATTGTTCTTGTAAAGATATAGATTTTTGAAGGAAAGTTGTGAAATGTATGTTGTCTTTTGTTTCAGGCACCTATGTGACCGTTGATATCTGTACAAAATGGTTAACTGATCCACGTAATCTAGAGCATAAAATCAATATTCCTTTAACAGTTAGTCGAGTTCGTTCACAACGTTTTGGTTGTGTTCAAGTACCATCACAATATGTTTTTTGTTATCGTGCAATTATTGATTTGCAGTGAATACTGGTCTACTGGATTCTAATAAAAGTCAAACTGCTTTAAACACCTTGATTACAGAGTCTAATTCACAGATATCAACAGTCCCCACTACTTTTTATCATCAATCATCTTCTTTGCCTAGACCATTCTGCGGAATTCTACCAAACTATGTAAACAATGTAAGCAAGACATCATCAACATTTCAACAACACTGTCTTACTACATCATCGTTGATTACATCAGTTAACTCTTCGAATAGTTGCTCTTCTTCTACTCTCAATCATCATCATGAAAATAATCGTAGTCCATTCCATGAATTATTGGCGTTATTTACACCGGTTAATCTGGCTTCCATTAAAAATTCTATTCGATTTAGAAAATTGAAAGAAGAGTTGATTGGTTCTGAGTTTCCTACAGAAAATGGTATACTTGATGTTGAAACTTGTCTTTAGACCTTAATTCAAGTTGTGATATCTCAATGACTACTAATACTAGTAGTTGTAGTGGTAGTAATAATAATGATGATATCACTACGACTACGACTCTCGCAACCGCCAATACAACAGCGAATGATAATGTCACTATGTTGAATAGTCTTCAAGATGAGACATTCATTGTAAATCCTCACTTCCATATTGATATCTCCTCGTCATCATCATCGTCATTGTCAACCACTAGTACTACTACTAATACACATTTGCCGTCTTCAGGATTATCTGATCACTTGAATACAGAAACGTTTGTGACTGTTCAAGCTCCTTTCTCTCGTCCAGTAAAACCGGCAATTTTTAACGATGATTTAGTTAACACTGTTACTACTACTGATAAATTGAAGAGTAGTAGTAATATGGCAACAAGTCGTCGATCGATACAATCAGAGACTAGTAATTCTTGATTTATGTGTGATAGTATAGCATATGGGATAACTTTCTTAGATAAATAGAAACAGTTACCTCATTGCCACCTACATTAAGGGTATTACTATTATTATTACTGTTACCATTACTATTATTATTGTTCATAGTGGTGGTAGTAGTACGCTGTACTCTGCTTCCCCATTGGTTTCGTTTCTTATGTCTTTGAAATTTCGGTTTTTACTAGTATACCTAACTAAATACTTTTTACTATAATGATGGTAATAATGGAAATCTGGATTGTTACTAGTATCAATCATCATAATAATAATTTTTTATCATTGTGATTAACACTATTTGTTATGCCAAATGCATTTGTTTCAGATAATGTAGTCCTTATCCATCGATATATATATATATATATATATATATATATATATATAAAATATAAATTTGTCTCTCTGGTGTGTCTATTGTATATGCACTTTTCAAGTTGACTGGACTCTCTTGTACATACAATAATAACAATGACAGGATCTGTCTGTCTATCAATTATTGTTATTTGCATATTTATTATGGAGTTAAGCGACAATACTACTAATGAAATCACTTGTGTTGTGGTAATTTCCTTTTCGTGTTTTGCCTTTATTTTCATCCTTTCCGTGTATTTCATAATTCATCGTTTGGTAAGGCGTGTTTGTGTGTGCAGGCCTAAGAAGTTGGTAGGGGGAGGGGGGGGCAGGGAAAAGTTGGTGCTATATAGAGTTGGGTACAACTTTGTTCTTTCTTCACTCCCTTTTTGTTATTATTATTATTGTTATTATTATTATGACCTAATAGTATGGCGTACTCATATTCAGATATCCATGTCTATTCATACTTTAACGCCATTGAGTTGTATTTATGAAACTAATTGTTTCATTTTGTGTTTTTCTTGTATATCTCTTACTGGTTGGCATAAAAGGCAAAAGCTTATAGTGTCTATTACTAAAATCCTCTCCTTTTTTTCAATTTGTTTAGCAATTTGTCGTTTTCTTTTAATCTTGCCTCATTTTTATATGAATACAAGCATACACAAACACACACGCTGTTTTTATGGTTATATTGTATGAAATGATGTTTAGTCGAACAAGACAAGAACAGCCGTATACTATGGTATGTTTGAACACACTGAATATATCCCGCACTAATTGTTGGCGGGAAAATCGTATTTTATCTCTGTTCATTGCATATATCATGCTTTACTTTATTTTGAATTTGTGAAACAAGTTTCTTTTTGTCGGTTGAAAAAGGAAAAAAACAATTTGTTTTCTTCTCCTATTTCACATGATGTTTAACAAGATGGAATTCCATTTTTATTCTGAAACAAATTTATGTAAATACTTTTTACTTACTACTAATCATTATCTACTTAAATTAAATAAATATTTCAAATGTGATTGTTTTTTTTCTAAAGATTACAGTTGATATCCGCTGTATATCACTGAAGTTTCAGTTTATTTAATGTGCACATGTTTTTAGATGAGTATGAGTATCATTTTCTGATCCTTTTCTTCCTCTGTGTGTGTGTGTGTGTGTGTGTCTCAGTTTGTTTGTTTGTTTGCATAGTGACATTTAAACTCATATATTCAGGTAAATTATGAAGGTGTGTGGCACTTTGCCGATGATTCGGTTGCTTGTTCGATCCTGCTAGTCTGTACAAGATAGGAATTCACTTGCCTTATTTTCTTCAATATTCTTTCATTATTCCTTACAGTGTAGGTGCTAAATGTATCGGGATAGGTTGGAGGGTGGTTGGATAGTAGTTATTTGATTTTGGAAAAAAAACTTATCTGCATCACTAACTCGTTCGGCAATAAGGAGTGTAGTGGTTGAGTTCCTGGATCACTTAGCTGGTGAGTTGGATCGGCCCCGACATAATCTTTACATTGCTACTAAAGGTTCACTTGACTGTATCCACTTCATGTCATCTCTCACTCGTATGGGATATTTGATCACCTGTTGAAGGTTGAGTACACTGCGCAGCAGTTCGCTGCATCCTACCATATAGTTGCTAAATATGATTACCAAGACTGGAGAACATGAAGGGAACCAGGATGCTCGATCTCTTTCCCTTCGTAGCGCTAGTCATGTGTCTTGAAAGTTTTCGGTAAGAGCAGTCAGTTGACAGGTTTTCAAATTTCTATCGACTGAGGATGGGTGGAAAATGTGCAACATGTCTAATAAACATATACGTCGTTATACAATGTTAGTTGAAGTATGTTTTGTGAGTCTACACTATCTCTGTTGTGCATGCTGTTTAATAACAAGTATTTTTTCTAAATAAACCATAGGAGAATTGAAGTTCTCCATCTTTGATAGGATCGTTAATTTCACTTTGATAGTAGCTGGCGACGGAGTCCAGATTAGTCAGCATTCAGTTTGATTTCATCAGCGATGGACAATCTCAAGCTATAACATCAAACTTTATCCGTCACAAGAGGTGTGGTTGCTATTACTCGGTAGCCTAGTAGATGACTGCGATATTATACGTGAAAGCTGTTCGTTTCAAATCTGCTGTAGCCAAACTCGTCACTGGCAAGTGGGTTCATCCAGCCGAAAGGTTGCAAACATGATGAAACCCATGTCGTGGACTACACTGCTAACCAATGACAGAGAGAACGGCAGTTAAAAATTACAGGTTCCCTATATAATGCTTTCTCGGTTTAATGTACTGTAGTAGTGATAGTATATTCTATCATTACTACTGTACATTAAACCGAGAAAGCATTATATAGGAAACCTGTAGTTTTTAACTGCCGTTCTCTCTGTCATTATCCAGCATATCTGATTTCTGTACCTCTGTATACACTATGTGTATCTGGTTGACTTTTCTAAGTATTCTATATGTATGAATTTCGCTTTTCCTTTATAACGAAAATCCTGTATTGAACACTATCTACCTTTAGGAATTGTTCCGGTGCGAACTTGACAGATGCAGAGGCCAGTCACTAATTATTCAGACATTTTATATACCCACGAATACGAGACCGTGGAAGAACACAATAGCGTAGTTAGATGGAATAGTATATTTGCGAGGTCGTGCCAAGATACCGATACGTCCCAACTAACAGGCTAGAGGGTCGATTACGATCAGTACAACGTAACACGGCAGCGTACCAAATGGAGTAGATACTTGACCGTGTGCCTTCAGCTTAGTGAGTCCAGTTAAACTATGCAGGTCAGCATAAATGTTAAGTCTCATCGAACTCTAGGCTACTGATTCTGGAGAAGTGTGTGAGGCTACACACCAATAACCGTAAACACGTAACAGCGCTTCTACTTTAAAACTTGTGTATGAATGCTAAGCTGTAGAAGAAGAAAGACTTTAGTGAACAGATATTTTTTGCGCCTATAATTTACATAATACCAAAATAAGTAAAAATCACGAAGAGCTTGTTGAATTTCAGGGTTGTGAAATTCAATAATAGTTGGAAAAGTTACTTTTTGATACCCATATTGAACTTCCAATTCAGGTATACCTTTTATTCAATCGTATGAGATGAATTTGCCAGGACTGTGCTAGCTGTCAGACAAGAGTTGTCAAATTGAATTGTTGATTGTTCTAGGTTTACTACTTACTGAGGCATGTTTTGAATATGTCGGCTTTAAAACAGATTTTTTTCAATCCTATCTCTTTTAATTGAGGCTTTTGGGGGTTTATTTATTGATTTTGGGTTAGTATTCATCACAGACCGACATTAGTTAAAGGACCATTGGAAACTTGAGGGCCCTGGACAACTGCGTCGTCCTAGTGTGAGACTCTTCAGCAGTGTTTACGCATGATCTCGCCCTCCAAAAGTCTAACCTAGGACCTTCCAGTTCCACGCCTATCACCTTACCATTGAGCTACTGGGTCTCTTTTAGCTTAAAATTGGGAATATATGTATAAATGGACACTTGATATTATTGTGTGTAAACTGATGTAACCGAGAGTAAAATATTTATCGAATGACTACTTATCGATCGATGACCAGTTGATGACTATTCCTCACAAATATTAGGAAATTGATGAAGCTCACCATTATTATTATCATTAAAAACTGTTTAGCGTGTCATCAATCGTAAAAGGAAAGTGACCGAGTAGTCAGTTAATTCAATTCAAACTAAGAATATTCAGCAAGCGACTCTCTTATGAGCATATGAACAAGTTTCATTTTAAAAAACAGAATGACCTTTTATAGGTCACGTCATATATATTGTAATTATTGCATCAGGGTAGTTATAACGTGTGATAACCTTGACACCTGCAAATGCACTCAACTTGTTCACAATAATTATGAATACTGTTTTAAAGGTAATTTACATAAACTGCCATTACCTTTGATAATTTGGTTGGTTGTGACTAGCAGAAGAATCCATGACGCGCACTTCGTCCTATTTGGGACTCGTCAGCTGGATGTACCTGCACCACAATGCCAATAGAGCTCGAACAATTCAATCCAACAAAACAACGCAGAATAACAAGTATGCCAATAAGTAGTAATAACTATTACCCGTTGTACAAGAAGTGTCTACCATTACTCAGTGGCACGGTGGCTAACGCCTTGATGTTTAAAGCGATGCGTACGTGGTTCAAGTCACAGTGGAAACAGCATCACTGGGGAGCAGGTACAACCAGCTGACGAGCCCCAAATAGAGCGAGACGCGCGTCCTGGTTTCTCCTTCTAGCCACAACCAATTAAATCATCGTAATTGACATTTAGGCAATATCGAGGCATCCTTACAGAAGCCCATATGCTAGTAGAGGTCGAACAATTCTACCCGACAAGTATGTCAATAAATAGTAATATCATTACTTTTCATGTTTAATATGTTCACCTAATGATGGGTTTCTTGGAATAAAGTTAACAGCTGTTTTTTAGCCTGAAATTGAAACAGTAATTATCATTGTTTCTTCGTGTTTTCTGGCGAGTCGTTGAAACGCTTACCTACACGTTTGTCTGTGCTATAACAGTTATGGAACTACTATACTACTTATTAGTAATAAGTAGTTTATTTT